TTATAAATGAGCTGATTTAATAAATAATAAAATTCCATCTATTATATGTATACTCATAAATATTTTCTTAAGTATTTAACAAGTAGTCCACTGTTCATAACAATCAGACTCCAACGTTGAAGGTCTATAAAGGAGTTCACATAATGATTATAAGACTTAAGTCGATCGAACACTTAGGGCATCTCCAACCGAACGCCAAACGAGCGTTTGGCGTCATTCCTTCGCTCCAGCCGAACGCCAAAAAATCCTCCATTTGCTTGCGGGTGAACAGTGCAATGCCAATATTGGCGTTGCACTGTTCACCCACGCCATTTTTCTCTGTCAACAGGAAAAATGCGGGAAAGGAGAAGGGTCGTTACCTTGACGCAAAAGCAAAAAAATGACGTTGGATTGGAGCAACACCACGCCATTTTTGCTTTTTGCGGTATTTTGGCGTGAAAAATAGAGTTCTCGGTTGGAGATGACCTTAGAGGATGGTTGCAATGAATTGGGCAATTTACCAGTTGCCTTCCACCAGGGATGGCAACTCACACGAAAGAGCTTGTTATCACTCTCCTCGGACTTAAAGTTTACTCTAAGTTCCACCACAAATTGTTGTTGTTCTTAGGGCATTGGTCGGCTACAACCCTCTCAACTCAAACATTGGCCATCAATTTTGTTCGTACAGACTTGTCCTCTTGTACTAGGCAATGCAAGATTCACCAAAAAAGGCAGAGAAATAGCGATTAAGAGGACTAGTCATCTTGCAAGCTAATTAGGACGAGATGTAGTTAGGTAGTCTATATAAAGTGTCATTATCTTATTTTTTTTATTGATGTAGCATTTCCTATAATCCTCAAGTCTTTATAAAAAAATGATGAAAAATAATATTTTGGATATTTTACATTTTTTACGTTCTTTAACACTTATGCTATAAATATTTGAACTATTGGATTTCTTTTTTTATTCTCTCTCTCCTACCACCCAAGAATAAATTTAGATCCAATATTATATATGTAATTGACTTAAGTAATTTTACTCTATGACAAATAACAACTAACAAAAATATTAGAGTTGGTAATCCCTAAATTTGATTTTGAAGAGTTTTAGTAAAACCACTTTTATTAACTATATGAGACAATACAACAACAACAACAACATCAAGCCTTTATCCCACTACGTGGGGTCGGCTACATGAATCCTTTTTCTCCATTGTGTCCTATTAAAAGCCAAATTCTCGTTTAAATCTAATAAAGAAAGGTCATTCCTAATATTTTCTAACCAAGTCTTTTTAGGTCTACCCCTACCTTTCTTAACACAAGTCAAATCTAATACCTCTACTCTCTTAACTGGGTCGTCGGAAGGCCGCCTTTTTATGTGACCAAACCATCTAAGGCGACTCTCTCTAATCTTATCTTCTACTGGAGCTACTCCAACCTTTTCACGTATATGCTCATTTCGTATCCTATCTCTAAGGGTAAAGCCACTCATCCATCTAAGCATCCTCATCTCTGCCACACTTAACTTAGTATTATGCTTCTCTTTTAATGGCCAACATTCGGCACCATAAAGCATTGCAGGCCTCACTACCAACTTATAGAATTTTCCCTTAAGTTTGAGGGGCACATTTCTATCACATAACAAGCCCGATGCATTCCGCCACTTCAACCATCCAACTTGAATTCTGCTGATAATATCCCCATCTATTTCACCATCACTCTGAACAATAGATCCAAGATACCTAAAACGTGTACTCTTATTAATGACTTGATCGCCCAAAGTCACAATCCCCTCACTAGGACTATTACTGCTAAAATTACACTCCATATATTCCGTTTTAGATCTACTCAAGCGAAAACCTTTAGACTCTAAGGTTGACCTCCATAATTCAAGTTTACCTTCAACTCCCTCTCTAGTCTTATCAACAAGAAGAATATCATCAGCAAAAAGCATACACCAAGGTACATCATCTTGCAAATGTCTAGTGAGAACATCCATGACTAAAGCAAAAAGATATGGGCTTAAGGCTGATCCTTGATGTAACCCAACCGAAATAGGGAAATACTTGGTCAAACCACCTTGTGTTTGAACACAAGTAATAGCTCCTACATACATATCTTTAATGATTTGAATATAAGCATTATTAACTCCTTTCTTTTCAAGAACTCTCCATAGCACTTCTCTTGGAACTTTATCATATGCTTTTTATAAATCAATAAATATCATATGTAGATCCTCCTTATTTCCTCTATATTTTTCCATCAAACCTCTGAATAAATGTATGGCTTCCATAGTCGACCTACCCGGCATAAATCCAAATTGATTTTGAGAAACATTAGTATCACGCCGCAACCTATGCTCCAAAACTCGCTCCCATAGTTTTAAAGTATGACACATTAACTTAATACCTCTATAATTCGCACAATCTTGAACATCACCTTTATTCTTAAAAATAGGAATTAACACACTCATTCTCCACTCATCTGGCATCTTCTTAGTCTTCAAAATAGTATTAAAAAGTTTAGTAAGCCAAGAAATCCCTTCATCTCCTAAGCATTTCCACACCTCTATTGGAATATCATCAGGTCCAACAGCTTTTCCACCCTTCATTCTATTTAAAGCCTCTCTAACTTCAGTTTTACTAATACGCCGATAAAAACAGAAATCTTTACTTTCATTTAGGGTGCTAAGGTCACTACAGTCAATCTTATTTTCACAATCTTCATTAAAAAGGTTAGCAAAATATCTCATCCATCTTTGTTGAATATCATCTTCTAAGAAAAGTATTTTTTGATCTTCATCCTTAATACACTTCACTTGAACTAAATCCTTACTACTCCTATCTCTTTGTTTGGCTAACTTATACATATATATTTCTCCCTCTTTAGTATCTAATCTATTATATAAATCACTAAAAGCTAATGCCTTTGCATCGCATATTGCTTTCTTAGAATCCTTACGAGCCACTTTATATAATTCCCAATTATCAGAATTTTTAAAATTAAACCAATTTTTATAACAAAGCTTCTTATTTTTAATTTTTTCTTGCACATTAGGATTCCACCACCAACTATTTTTACTATTAGGAGCTTTTCCCTTAGATACTCCAAGCACATCTTTTGCAATATTCTTAATATCACTAGCCACTTTTTCCCACATAATATTAGCATCCTCATGCACAGACAAAATCTTAAGATCTAAAATCTTACTCACAAAAATATTTTGGTTAATATTCTTTAAATGCCCCCATCTAATCCTCGAAAAACGTTTTACTTTATTTTTTATTTTATGCCCCTTTATCTTAAAGTCCAAAACTAATAATCGATGTTGGGTACATAAATTTTCACTCGGAATAACTTTACAATCTTTGCAATCTAAACGATTTAATTTTCTAATAAGAAAATAGTCAATCTGGGTTGTACTATATCCATTTTTATAAGTGATGAGATGCTCATTCCTTTTCTTAAAAAAGGTATTAGCAATTAAAAAATTATAAGCTAAACAAAAATCCAATATGGTCTTGCCACCTTCATTCGTCGTTCCAAATCCATGGCCACCATGAATGCTTTTAAAATCATCTACCTCTCTACCAACATGTCCATTTAAATCTCCTCCAATAAAAACTCTTTCTTCAAGAGGTATATTTTGTATTAATTCTTCCAAGTCATTCCAAAAATTTAATTTAGAACTCATATCCAAACCTACTTGAGGAGCATAAGCACTTATAATATTAACAATCTTATCATCAACAACAATCTTTAAAGCTATAATTCTATCTCCAATCCTATTAATTTTTATAACATTATCCTTTAAACTCTTATCTATAATAACACCTACACCATTTCTAGTACGACTCCTACCCGAATACCAAAGTTTAAATCCTAAACTATCAATTTCCTTAGCCTTATCTCCAACCCATTTAGTTTCCTGAATGCACAAAATATTTAACTTCCTATGAATCATAATATATATTAACTCCATTAATTTACCTGTAAGGGAACCTATATTCCAAGTTCCTATCCTAATTTTAGTATCATGGACTAGCTTCTTTGCCCACATCCGTCCTTGATGTGGGAACCCTTGCCTATTTAACACTGCACCCGGGCGCCGGTGCAGCGGCCCTTGCACACTTGTCACTGTATTCAGGCCATACAGCGCGTCGCTTCCAGGGGACGCCCTAGCATTAACACTCCTTAAGCTAAAATCCTTATCTTCTTCTTCTTCTTCCCCAAAATCTCGGTTTTCAGTACCCAACCCTCAATCATCGCCTGCGTGCTCCGCCCCTGATCAGCAAGAGCAAGATGTCCGACAACTTAATTCACAAGCCCGATTAAAAACTCCCATTTTTCGGTTTTCAGTTCTCAGTTTGCACAGGTAAGAGTAAAAGTGTAAAACACAAGTTCAGCATATACAATCTCCTCACCTAACAATGTTTCAAGCACCGACGACCAGCGACGATCGAGGAGTTGCAGCGTCGATTAACCGGGTTGGCCAGTTCGTCAACGATCCAAGCACGGATGAAGGAGCTGCAACGACGAACGGCGAAGGAGGAGCTGCAGCGACCGGCGACTGGCGACCGACGACGAACGGCTGAACGGACGAAGGAAAAATCGGAGACGGGGGCGGCTTCGGGAGTTACGGGAGTAGAAAATGAATTTAGGTTTAGGTAAATGTTTTACTGTTTTAAGTTTTAAGTTTTAACTTTTAAAGTTTAAACCGTATGATTCAGTCAGACGGTTGAAATCAGAGATGGCCGGTTCGCTCCCGGTTCCGGTTCGCCGGGTTCGCGGTACAACCGCCGGTCGGACCGATTCAAATCCGGTCCGATGATAATCCGGTTTCGCCAGACAACCGAACCGGCCGGCCGGCCGGGTGCCGGTTCAACCGGTTGAACCGGCCGGTCCGGTCCGGTTTTAAAAACGTTGATTTATATACCATTTTAATATTAAATATACTATACCTAAAATTTATTTCTAACACTTATATAATCCTATAAATTTGGTATTTCATACGCCCAAATCCGACAATCCGAGCACAGTCGCTCAACCTGCTCAGCACATCTGTTTCCAGCTTCTCTTCTTCTCAACGCTTGCCCGCGTCGCCTTCAAAACCCTAGCTTTATGGCGCTCTACACAAAACTACCCCACCAAAAACTCTACTCCCGCCTCCTCATTCGCCACCTCTCTGCCACCGCCACCACCGCCGTATCCCCCTCCGCTATTCTTAGCCCCTCCGACTCCTCTGCTGTCCTCACAGCCAAGCAGAAATCCCGCGCTGCCCTTCATCTTCTCAGATCGGAGAACGAGCCCTCCCGCATCGTCGACATCTGCCGCGCCGCAGCCCTTACTCCTTCCTCACACCTCGACCGCAACGCCTTCTCTTCCGCCATCTCCAAGCTCTCATCTTCCCAATCCTTCTCCTCAATCCGTTCCCTCGTAGATGAACTTTTACTGTCTTCGAAAAACCCCAACCCTCGCTTTGTCTCCCACGCCATCGTCCTCTTCGGCCATGCTGGCATGCATGACGACGCCCTCCGTGCGTTTCGATCATTACCGTCTCCTCGATCCCTCAATGCTCTTCTATTCGCCTGCATCATATCCAACAACCACTCTGAGCTTGCCAAGATCTTTCGAGAATACCCCACAATCTACGGGTTGAGCCCTGATCTTGAAACATACAACACCGTGATTAAATCATTTGCGGAGTCGGGGACTACCAGATCATTCTACTCGGTGTTTGATGAAATGCTCAAGAGAAAAATTAAGCCTAATACGACCACTTTCTGCAACGCACTTGAAGGGTTTTATAAGGAGCAGAGGTTTGACGACGTGGAGAAGGTGTTAGAGCTTATGAGAAAGCACGATTGCAACCCAGGGGTTTCCACGTATAATGTGAGGATACTTGGGTTGACCAAACTTGGAAAGTCGGAGCAGGCAAAAGAGTTGTTTGGCGAGATGTTGAAGAAGAAGGTGAACCCAAGTTGGGTTAGTTACAGTTATTTAATTGTTGGATTTTGCAAGGAAGGGAATTTGGAGGAAGCCAAAAGATTTTACAAGTCTATGCGTAGCAAAGGCTGTGTTGCTGAGAGTTGGGTTTACTTCTCACTTATGAACTATTTGTGTAAAGGTGGAGACTTTGAGGCGGCATTGGGAGTTTGCAAGGACACAATGGTGAGAAATTGGGTGCCCTGCTTTGCCAGCATGAAGCTGCTGGTGAATGGGCTTGCCAGTAGCTCGAAAGTGGATGAGGCAAAGGATCTTATTGAGAAGGTGAAGGAGAGATTTCCAAAAGGTACCGACATGTGGAAGGAAGTAGAAGAGGGGTTGTTAAAGTGATGATGCTCTATCTCCTTCATTGCAACCCTTCTTGCGAAGGGGAGGCTGAAGATTTCAACTCAGCTCATTCTTTAAGCCCCAAAACTTTCATATTTTGCTTGTTAAATTTATCATTTGGGATTGAATCTTTAAACAATCATTATATGAGAATCCTACTCTTTTATGTTCCAAAACCTTCTTGATTTTCTCTTAGTTGTATGCAATCTGATCCTCTAGTATTTTTCGTATGTACAATACAATACCATAAATTAGAATATCTGAATTTTGAAACCTCTTTGCTATTCTAAAAAAAAGGGAAATAAATTTATTTCTTTTTATTTTTGAAGATTTGTTGAGAGAATGCTTCTCTTCTTTGATTTCTTTGTAAAATGATTGCTTCAAAGTTCATGGGATATTTTCGAATGATTTTTAATAGTTTTCTGAGAAAGAACATTTGATTTTGTTTGTTACTCTTCTCAATTGACTCCTGTATATTCTATTTATGAAATTATAAGTACCTCGGCATCTTTTGACTGTTGGTCATTTCTGATTGAGCAGCACAAAGTGTAGTATTCATGTCTCTGTGGTTTGTTTATTGGTTTCTTTATCGCATGTGTGTGTTGTTAGTGCTAGTTTTATTTCTTCTAAGTTTATTTGTTTCTTCTCTGTAGCATTCACAAAAAAGAGATAATTTATGCATTTCCTTCATAGCAAATTGGTATAAAAAATTAGACAAGTTGAATCTAGCAGATGTCATCATAAAACATTTCTACCAACATTATCAAACAAGAGTATTGCATCATCAAAGGATTTTTTTGGAACAATTTTTTTATTGCTTTTTAAAACAACTTTTTAATAAATTTTTTTAATTAAAATTTTTGTACGAGAAAGTCATTTTAGAAAGAAATTATAAAGTTGTTCCTAATGAAACCTTAATGTGAATAATAGTATCAAGAATATGAAGAGGTGAGCATCTTTATCCAAGTATGGAAGTATTTTGTAATGACATAATATATGAGACAAATGTTGAGATTTCTATTTGGGATATGAGATCCTTTGAAATGTGGCAGATTATAATGTCACAATAGAGATGTGGGAGAAGCTAGAATTTCCTTGCATTATGTGGGAAGCTGGGAGAAGGTGGAAGTTTCTTGTATGATGAAGTCACTTACCAATTGTCTATATGGAGTAATAGTTTACGTTTTGCATGAAAAATGGTGCATTATTATAAGGGAACTTTGATTTTTATAATGAGATATTTTTGGATCTATCATATTTGGAATTTGAAGATTCAAAGAAAAAGAAATGGTTATGTAAAAACTTTATGATAAAACTTAAAAGTCTTACTAATATGCCTTAGAAATTTAGTATAATATGATAATATAATAGTAATTATAAAGAATTTGGTGATGCATTTGTAATTATGTACTTGTTAAAAAAATTTTTATGATGCGTCATCAAGATTAAAATTTTGATCTTTTATATAAGGGCCGCTCTTTATGAATACTCTATGAATAAAATTGTAATCGACAATTTGTTCCTAAATGACAGCAATAAGCTATATTTCCCTCTTTTGTGTTCTTGTTTTCGTATTCTTCTTCATTGTTATCTTCAAAAGTTGCTCGCAATGGTAATGTAGTTGGGCTTATTTTAAGTTTTTGTGCAATAAATACAGTCGAAACAAAAATTAGAAATCATGCATCACAATTAATACGGTGATTTATATGGTTCAGCCAAGATGCCTATGTCCACGGAGAGTGCATGATGATTTCACTATATTGAAGGAAAATAAGTATTATAATTTGACTCTCTTCCGCCTATGCATCAACCCTCAAACCATATTTGTGTTAACGGATATGAATAAAGAATGAAATATGTAACATGTAGCCTTGTACAGCTGTATTCTTATGTTAAAGATATGTGCGAAGGTTCTTTACAAAAACCTCTATATATACCATTGTATACCCACTGGACAATACATAAATAAAAATTAATCTTTCCCTCTCTCTTGGTTTGTTTGCTAAGCATCTATCTGACTAGCGCTTCATAGCACATCAAGTTAACATGGTTTCAGACTAGGTTCTTCTTCTTCTTCTTCTTCTTCTCTGTTCTTTACTTTCTTCGTTACTATGGCCGGCTCCTTTGTTTCCACCCCCTCGGTTGATTCAAACTCCCCCTTCGTCTCAATAACTATACCTCCTCAACTTAAATTCTTGATGAATAACATCAAGAATCTAGTTCCTAACTCCCTTGCCGCGGACACTACTCCCTATGGCGCTCTCAGGTGGAAATGGTTTTCAATGCCAGTGGATTCAAAGGCTTCCTTGATGGCACATTTCAATGCCCTCCACCTCATGTAGCTTCAGTTGATTCGTCCGCCTCTATTGCCTTGACTCCGCACGAAATCTGGATTCTCACTTATCAACACCACCTCGCAGCTTCATTCTACTCGGTGATTTCGCTTTTGATCTTACCCTATGTTCTTGATCTAACACACTGTCACGGCATATGAACGACCCTTGCACATCGTCTTCAAGCTACGACACGATCAAGAATCATTCATCTAAGGAATGAACTACATCATTTATCAAAAGGTGATAAATCAATGACGCAATATCTTTTGGACGTAAAATCGAAGGTTGATGTGATCCAAGCCATTGGACACACGATTGATCCGGAAGATGTGATCCTCTACACGCTGAACAGACTTCAATCCTCTTACTAGTCGTTCAAAACGACAATCCGTACGAATCTTCAACCCTTCAATCTTGACGACCTTTATAACTTATTATGCATCGAAGAACAAATCCTAAATCATGAAGCCATAAAAGACCATCAATATCTACAACTGACGAACAATTCAGTTGCTCGTGTGGCACCTCGTGGATGAGGTTGAGGAAGATACAATCAATATCGTGGAAACAGGGGTCATCGTCCCTCTTCCTCCATTGGCCGCGGAGACAAAAACCCATATTGTAATACCGTCTGTTAGATATGCAACAAAATAGGGCACTCGGCTCTTCGGTGTTGGTATCGAACAGATCCAACTTACTTCGACAATCCGACAAATTCAGCATTGTTCTCTGCACAATATACCACCAGTCAAGCTAATTGGTTTCTTGATAGTGGGGCTTCCTCTCACCTAACAGCTGATCAGTCCCAACTGAGCTCAACCGAACCATACACAGGTTCCTCTCAATTCATTTTTGGGAACAGTCAACATCTACCGATACATAATACAAGTAAAGGACTTCTGCCCCACAGGTAATCTCTATCTCAATAAACTTCATCATGTTCCCAATCTTTCATTTAATCTTCTTTCTATTCATCAGCTAACCACCGATAACGACTGTGTTGTTTCTTTTTCATCTTATGGATATGAAATTAATGATTCGAAGACTCATCGCCTTCTACTTCAGGGGCCTTGCCATAACGGCTTGTACATGGTCCCCTCCACACTTCACTACCCGCAACTTGTTTTTCTTTCTACTAAAATCATTCAGGGCATGTGGCACAACCGTCTTGGACATCCTGCCCACACCGTGTTACAAAATTTAGCTCAGTCTAATCCGGTTATATGTACTTCCATAAATAATACTTGTAATACATGTTGTCTTGCCAAGAGCAGACGATTATCTTTTCTGGATTCTATATCTCACACCAATTCATTTTTTCAAATTATACATTATGATGTATGAGGACTAGCCCCGATTACCTCTATCCAAGGCGATAGATACTTTGTTTCATTTGTTGATGATTACTCCAAATATTGTTGGATTTTTACTATGTTTAAAAAAATCAGAAGTTACACACATATTTATTACATTTCATAAATTTATTAAATGTCAATTCAACACTCATATTAAAACCATCCGCACGGATGGTGGTGGCAAATATGTAAACATCTCCTTTAATACCTATTGCAAACATTGGGGTATCCAACATCAATTTACTTGTCCTTACACTCCCGCATAAAATGGGATAGCAAAATGCAAAAAATCGTCATATCCTGGAAACCGTTCGAAGCCTTTTAATTCGCTCCAACACTCCTTCCAATCTTTGGGTAGAAGCGTTACACACGGCTATACACTTAATTAATCGCCTTCCCACACCTACTCTTCATAATCACACGCCATTTCAACAACTATACAAACAACCTCCCACCTACTCACATCTGAAAATATTTGGATGTCTCAGTTACCCATGGCTTCACCCCTATGTCAAGTCAAAAATATCTTCTCTCTCGTTACCCTGTGTGTTCATCGGTTACACTCATCAATAAAAAGGATATCGTTGTATGGACATCACCACAAATCGGGTTTACGTCTTTCGACACGTTGTCTTTAACGAAAAAATATTTCCATTCAAGCAATCTGCTTTGGCTCCCACTCCCATGGTTTCCACCCCAAGCTACACTCCAATTCCTCGACTTCTGCTTGTACCCTCATCACTAACTCATACCGTTCAACCCACTAAAGTCTCTACAAATTCTTCACCTAATTCCACTCCTTCAATCTCTTCATCCTAAAAATCTCTTTCAAATAATCCAACGCCATCCATCACTACTTCTTCCATCATGCCCATTATTCTTGTGCATACTATGAAAACTCGTTTCCAAACAGGCAACCTAAAGCCAAAAAGAATATTCGATCTTACTCGCCACATCACCGAGACCGATCCCACCTCTTACACTTAGGCTGTCAAGCATGCGCATTGGCGCTCTACCATGTCTCAAGAGTTTCAGGCCCTTCAATCTCAAGCTACCTAGGAACTGGTTCCTTCGTCACCAGCTCAACATACACTCGACTGCAAATGGACGTTCAAAACCAAACATAACTCGGACGACACTATTGCCCGATACGAAGCGCGGTTAGTTGCGCTAGGCTACAATCAAGAGTTTGGTTTAGACTACAAATAAACCTTTAGTCTTGTAGCCAAAATGCCAAATGTACGAATTTTATTAGTCATTGCTTTACATCATAATTGGCTTTTACATCAACTCGACATCTCAAATGCATTCTTACATGGTTCACTGTCGGACACAGTCTACATGAAGCAACCTATAGGATTTATTGACGAAAACTTTCCAACCCATGTATGTAAGCTCAATAAGGCCATATATGGTCTTAAACAAGAACCACGAAAATGGTTCGAAACATTAACGAGATTTCTTCACGGACTTGATTTCGTTACCAGTCACTCTGACCCGTCTCTCCTAATCTACCGAAAAAATGGTATTATTATGTATTTTC